CCCCAAAACCCCAAAACCCCAAAACCCCACGTCATTCAGATATTGTTGAATAGAAATGATTCGAAATTTAGTATTTACTAAGCAAAAATCTTCGACTTTAAGATCTTGGAGATGCTACTAATCTGAGAATGATTGGAGAACCTCCTTAATGACACTCATCACTTTCTTCCTCATGTTGGATTTAACGAATGGAGCGTAGTGTTCCATGAAGTTGGTAAACACAAACTTAATCATCTGAGCTCACAAAGGATGTCTGATGAAAATTTTGAATTTCGTGTTGTTATACTTGTCGACACAAGTAAATGGAGAAGCTTTCTGCTGCCTGCTATTTATAGCTACTCTATCTGAAGTATATCTATGAGTTTGGTGTATAAACTTGAACAACTGGTGATCGGCCAAGTCTTCATCTGAGAGTGTAAAGTCAAGTTCTTGAAAGAACGTTCGCACTCATTTTGTGACTCCTTCAGCTGTTCTATACTTGGAGAGGTGAAATCTTCTTCTGAACAAGATCCTGAAGAATTCTCTTAGGTCTCTGAGAATCTTCTTTCTGAATGTATCTAGCCTACTCCTCACTGATGGATCTGCTTCTTTCCTCCTGTTCTTAGTTATCATGTACTGATTCCATTTAGGAATTACTTCGTTCCTGATTGTTTCCCAAACACTCTGAGTGTCTTCTTTAAACAAACTATGGCTATCAGAATGGTTCAATGTCGATTCTATAATTTTAGATGAGAGCACTTACTGTTTGATTTCTCTTTTGGAAAAGGGTCTTGTTTCGCATAGGATATACTCTGAAATTCAGTTCGGATCTGAATAGAAATATTAATAAATACTCAAACATTTTGAGAACGATCGGATATTTTCAAAGCAAAGAGGCAGCCAGATTAAGGCTCTCCTACTTTTATCCAATATGAGGTTTATAAGTTGGCTGGAATCAAGCAGTTTAGTATGCTAACAATTTATAGGATCTGAAGCTTGTATAACCATTCTTAGAATTTTCTTATATATCCTAATAACATGAACTAATACATTGAGGGAGCTCATATTGGAGCAAATTAAAAGGAACCGTACCCTATCTTCATCTGATATATCTTGATTCGAATTCGTAGTGTTATTCACTAGAGATATATCTGGCTTCTGCAACTGAACCTGACCACTTTCTATTAAAATGTCGTTTGAAGGTGGGAGCAGCACCATCTCCTGCTTTTCATTGAAACTGACTGGTAAAGACTCTGCAATCAAGAGAGCATCCAGTCCAGATAAGTCCCAATGTATTTGCTTAGGGTGGGGAAGGATTATAGTCTCTTTCTTTGCTAACTTGGAGGATCTAAATTGACACTCCGAAATGTGATGTTTCTGAGGAATAAAGGCTCTATAAACTCAAATTAACACCAATTCATTTTAACAAAGTCTAACTGCAAGGAGGGATCAAGCAGGAACTTACTTCATCTTTGATGTTCAATGATTTTGAAAAGTTATTTATGTTAAAAATTTTACTAATTTTGGCCTTCAAATACCTTTACTGGAATGAAGTTACAAAATTTTCGATTTTTTAGAGTCACAAAAGACTAAATTAGAGACAAGAAACTAGGTGTTTAACCCTAAGTCCCCATATTGTGCTATTTGGTCTAGTTTATAAGGAATAGAGTCAAATGAATTTGTGAGGTAATGATTGGGTTCGTAGTATGTCTTATGCAATCTGAGCTAGGAGTTCAAAATCTCTACTAATTGCACTTTTGGGCTTGCCAGATCCTGAGTCTGGTTGCTATACTAGATCTCATTTAATTACTAGCAAAGATGAGAAGGAACTTAATAGTAAGAGGATCAAGTATAGAGACATCAGTTTCTTGTTAGAATGCTTGACCAAAAGCATCTTTGATTACTCAATTTTAATTGGGAAATATTTTTAGCTAAAATTGGTAGGAATTTAAATACCATTTCAAGAAAATTATCACAATTATTAAGGGTTTGGAGTGTTTCTTGGCAAAGAAAAGCCTCACTAATAGTTTACTTTCAGAAGACTCACATCACCCTCAAGAAATTTGAAAAGTTGCCAAAAATTGAATAATACATTCATCCCATCTCTCACCACCCAAAAATTCACAAATGACGTCACAAACCACAAACACCCCCTTTCAAAATTTCTCCCAAACCACTCATCTTCCAATCCAAACCACTCAATTCCCAACCCCCAACCTCAGTCTCTGAACACCTCATATAATCCCTCTGCACTGTATCTCTAATCCCAATCATTAAAAATGTCATTTGGTCAAAACCTTTAAATAACAAAATTACGTCACAGATAAAATTTTGGATTTTGAATGGGAGGGTTTTCAATTTTGGGATTGGAGAGCGGGGTTTTGGGGTTTTGGGGTTTTGGGG